ATAGGACCAAGACAGGACTGATAACCAACATGCATAAACTGAGAATGTATTCACATATTTGCATGCTGCCTGATAAACTGGCAATGTTCCATCCCTGACAGTCCTATTTCCTCCCCTCCCTCTCCCCCAGAGCCCCTAAACCTCCCCTCCCTATAATGGGCTCTCCAGTACCCACTAAGTCCTGGTGTGGCACTGCGAGTTAATGCGCTGGACTGTAAGGTCTATTTGCACTGCAGGGTAAGTACTTCAAGCTCACCAGCCACTCCTCAGAAACCCTATACAGGGTTGCTATGAGTCAGAACTGACTCGATGGCACTTAACAACAAGAAGAAGTACCCACTAGATATTCTGAAAAAAATCACTGCAGTCTACGGTTTAAGGCCATGAATTTCGAAGTCATAGTAAAGTCACAAAAATCAAAGCTGTCACCATCAAGTCGATCAGACTCAGAGAGGATGCAACAGAAATGCCCCCGAAGGTTTCTAAGGCTATAAATTTTTATCAAAGCAGACTGCCACATCTGTCTCCCACAGAGCCACTGGTGGGTTTGAACTTCCAACCAGTTAGTTTGCCACTGAATGCTTAATCATGGGGTTACTTGCTGTTGCTGTTGGTAAGTGCCATCAAGTCAGTTCCAACTCATAGCCATCCTGTACAGGGTTTCCGAGGAACAGCTAGGGGTTTGAAGGGTTCCAATCCTAGCTTTGCCACTTACTAGCTGTGTGACCTCGGGCAAGTATCTGAAGCTCTCTGAATCTCGGTTTCTTCATCTGTAAAATGGAGACAGAAACAGGCCTTAACCTCCGTGAGGATTAAATGGCTTAATACACATAGCATACTTAGCACAGTGCCTGGTTCATAAAACGTGTGCATATATGCTAGCAAAATTACTCTGAACGTCATCACCGAACATATGATACCAGGCATGGTTGTGTACACCAGCATGAAGAAGTGCTTGGAAATCAAACAGACCCAGTTCCAATCCTGGCTTGCCGCTTGCTAATTCTGTGATCCCCAAACCCACGATTGTCCTCATTTGTAAAATGGGACACTTATAGTACCATCTTTATAAGGTTGTTGTAAGGATTCCGTGGGTTTCTTCACGGAACTCATGGAACACAGGACTGGGCACTCAACAAACGTAGGGTGCCACCTCTGGCAATGTCAGAAAGAATTTGAAGGTGGGAGGGGCTGTGGATGCCCCATCAGAGTCACCCTGCCCTGCTGTGGAAAGTCCTAGTTGGAGTCTGGATTCACCGGGGGGCACTGCTGAGCTTCTAAGCAAGGGGTAGACTTTATGCTCACATCAGTTAGCACACACAAGGCCTCACATGTTCAGATACAGACACACAGGCCTACACACACACACACACACACACATACACATACACTCCAGCATGCCTCTGCTCCAGGCAAAAACCTTCCGGTGGGGATTTCCCCTGCGGCGGCTACAGCCCACGACATGTCAGCTCCCATCACAACATGGGGTGGGTGGGGTGGGGGTGGGGTGAAGAAGAATGGATGGGAAGGGGGCGTCCCTGAAACTGTTTTCACCCCATCTCACCCTGTGCCCCAGGCCCTGCTGGCCCTCCTTTCTGACATTTGTGGTTTAGGTGATGGTCTGAAATGATCCTCACCAGTCCCCCTGCCCATAAGGAGAAGGGAAACCAACAGAGGTGAGGGAAGAGGTAAAGTGAGATGAGGAAAGACAAGAGGTTGGGCTGGCAGAGACAGAGACAGACCCAGAAAGAGAGACAAAAAGAGAGTTTGAAAGAACAATAAAGAGATGGAGTGAGACTTATGCAAAAAGTAAAGAAATAGAAACACAAGGCAGAGATACTGAGACAGAGAGATGGAGCCAGTCAGGAGGAGAGAAAGATAGTGTCACAGGGACAGAGAGACAGCCAACAGGCAAAAGAGAAAAAAAAGGAGGGTCAGGGCATCTCACCTGACACCCCGTCCTTAATCTGTCTTTGATTCCCTCTAGGACCCTCTTCGGTATCGGACAAAAACCCCTGGTCTGGAACAGAACTCCTTCAGTAGGAACCTTAGCCCCAGGTTGCATGGCTGTGGAAAGTCTAGAACTGAGCACCCCGATCTATGAAACAGGGGTGGAGTCTTGTCTCCCACAGAGGGACTCAATTTAAAGGCATCTAGACCAGGCTACCTGGGTTCACCTCCCAATTCCTTGCTGTACAAATATAGGTAAGGCAAGTGCTGTCCCTTCTTTGTGCCTCAGTGTTGTTCTTGGTATGTGCCGTGGAGTCAGTTCTGACTCATAGCGACCCTGTACAGGGTTTCCAAGGCTGTAAATCTTTACGGGAGCAGAACGCCTCATCT